TGTGCACACATGGGTAAGAACACTATGAATAAATGATCCTACAAGTAAGTGTTTGCATACTTAATGCCCCTTGTACTACTTGACTGAAACAGGATTTAAACTTGGCCGAGCACAATTTCTATACTCTACATGTTTTATTTTCCCTTATAATGCCAACGCCTTATACTATAGACAATTAATTGATTTTGAATGAATTAATAAACAAAGAAGTAAACATGGCTTTTAGGAAGACTCCAGAAAGCAAGGAGGGCGTTGGGGAGGTGGGGGGGGGGGGTCTTCTTCCATCTGGAAACTTCCTGAAGCTTCTGAGGTAAGGTGAGATTGTCTTCAAATAGAGAACACTAAAGCAAGAGCAGGGGGCCTAATGTCACAGGACCTGCTCAGCCTGCCCTATAGACATCATCCAATCCCAAGGAGAATAGACCCTGACCGGTTTACAGAGAGCCTTGGGTCTACCAGCCCAAAACAGTTACTGCAAGCTTCTAAGAAAAGGCTCAGCCAAGCTAGCACTTACTGTGCCAGCCCTCCTGAGGCCTGACTTCCAATTCACTGATATATCTAAGCAGGATAATTTGATTTGCAGTGTTTGTCACTCTGTGCTCCCAGCAGAACAGATCTGAGCTCCAAGCCTACTTTGACGATATTGGATGCCTGGGTCGGAATTGTGCAGCACAAAAACAAAGAAAACAGCCACCCCATGCCCACTGAGAGGCCGGAGGTCTTCCAGTATGGAGAAACTTGATTTCTGGAAATCTGAACTTCGATCTCAGCAGCGTAATCAACAATGTGCCGTGTGAAAAGCAAACTGTTTAACCACTTCAGTGCTGTTTTTCTGGAAATGAGGCCTGACCATACTTACCACAGGCAGTAACTAACGTTATGTGAGGAAAGGAGAGCGTCAGGAGAGAGACATTCTGGGAAAAAAAAAAAACGTTAACTTCTAGTTCAGATTTACCTGAGTTCAGTTGATTAAATCTCCTCATCCCTCCAGTTCTCATCCAGAAGGCCTTCAGAGTACAATTTTAGTTGAAAAAAGGTCTGTGTCAGAAGTAGAAAACAGAGGAGGTTGACCCTACCTCTGCAAACTGGGAAGAATCCCTATAAAGCAGAGAGTAGGTAAGACATTCTGAGGGAAGGGCAGACAGATTCACTGAAGAGTCTCTCCCTGGAAAAGCAATGAGAAGAGGCTGGCCCCAGGGGAGTCCAGAGGCTGAGGTGGGGCGAGTTTCTGTGGGAGGTTCACCGAATGCTGCAGACTCCATGGGGGAGACACGGAAAGCAGCTATCATCCAGCTGAGGGACGTGGGCAGCCGACCAGGGCCATAGGTGGTGCTGGTGAAGACGGAGTCCCAGTAAGGAAAGCAGCCCTGTATCCACCACCTTCCTGACACTCAACCACTGCCGGCAGAGTAACATGCCTCCTTCTCTGTCTGCTCCGAGACTTTGCTCTCTGCCCACTCACCGCGGAGATCTCAATTCCCGATCTGGCAAAGAAGCATCACAAACATTCTGACTTCTTCCTTTCTTCTTCATCTGAGGCTAAAAGAGTTTAACAGAAATCAACTCATTCCTGGACAAGCATGGAAATAACCCCCCACACCACCATCACCCGGGCTGAGAAGGTTTGCTGGACAGGACCCAGTGTCCTATAATTTGAAGAAAGGAATTTCTTGAAGGCATCAAAGCATTTTTCCCTGTGAGACATTTCCTGAAAGAAACAGGAGAAAATCTTGGAAAATCTCTCATCTGTATTCTCAGTGGGGCTTGGCAGGACTTTGTGTGCCCACATCTCCAACACCACCAGCTCTAGGGGCTCCTCGTCTTTTCCTGAATCATAAACACCCCACGACCCCATCACCTCCCTGATAGCACACTATATTAGGACCATACTGGGGACATAGGTGCCTCATCCCCCACCCTGGCCCCCGACTGTATCAGCTCTCAGCCTCATGGTGGCAGTGAGACCTTCTGCTAACAGACGTCTAAGTCATCTAGTTTCTTACGTTGGTCCCCAAGTTGCTCTAAAGTTTTAAAACGTAGGTCCTCCAAGTTCAAACCACCTATTTATGCTCTACGACCTACCTGCTAGCTGCTGAAAGGGGAACATCATTCTGGTACATCAAAGGCTTCCCCTGCTGTGTCTGCTCCTGACAACTGTCCATCTATCTCAAAGGAGAGAATTCTCTTACAAAAACCACTCCCTCACTCCACTCAGACTAACCTTTTTCATAATAGTTTTCACTCTTGATACTTTCTCAATGCCGTTCATATCTAGACTGCTAGAGAGATGAATCATCCAGAAGAAGGTGACTCTTCTGGTTACAAAAAGACCGGAGAAAAATCTGGAACCTGGCACTGATCAGAGACTGTTCTCATCAGGGGAGATGAAGTAAGCATGCTGGAGGTGGGGTATTGGCCACCTGTGCCCTTCAAAGTAGCAGAGGTCATCAAGCCTGTGGTCCCCCCATTCTAGTTGTGCAGCCAGCCCCCTGGCACTGCCACTAACGCTATTCCCCCTACTCCCACCATCTGCATTCACTCCCGACCTCTGCCCAGGGCCCTAGGAACCCATCTGTAAATCTGCAATGGAGGACGTAAATATCAGTATTACAAAGTGCAGGACTGAGGGACATGTGAGCTCCAGCCTGGACTTCTGGAAAGGATAGGGCTGGAGGAGAAACCATGAGAAACTGCCCCGGCCCTGGAACCCAGCAAAGCAGGTGTAGGTTTCTACCTGGCAGCCCCAGGGAACCCCAGTGATGCTTGGGGAGAATAGGGGCTCAGAGAATGGAGCTGACTCAGTACGCTTCCCAGCTCCCTCCCCTCCTTCAGGCTAGAGGCTTCCCTACACCGTCACCTTATTTTGTTTTGGCAAATCTAATCCATTTCTTTTCATTGAAATATTTTACTGCCCTATATGAAAGTACCACCTTTTATGTAGCCATTTCTCCAACTGACCGAAAAAAGCAATATGCACAATACATAGAGAGTAGAGTACATATCAGATTGCTGTCCACACACACAAAATACTATTTGTTTGCTATGGGTATATGTGTGTGTGTATGTCTGTGTGTAATTGGAAAGATAATGTAATCAAAATGATATTTGCCTTCTGGGAGAAGGAGTTGATCAAGACAGAGAGTAGTAGCAAAGGGGCTTTGAGCTTTATCTGAATTGTTACAATTTTGTAATTAAGTAATCTCTACACCCAATGTGGGGCTGGAACTCGTGACTCTGAGATCAAGAGTCACGTGCTCCACTGAGTGAGCCAGTCAGCTGCCCCTGAATTGTTATAGTATTTTTTTTTTTTTTTAAAGAGAGAGAGCAGGGGAGGGGAGCAGAAGGAGAGACAGAGTCTTAAACAGGCTCCAAACTCATCATGGAGCCTGACGTCGGACTCAGTCCCACCACCCTGGGATCATGACCTAGGCCCAAATCAAGAGTGGGGCAGAAGCTCAACCAACTGAGCCCCCAGGCACCTCTATAGGTCTTAAAGAATTAATCATCTGTCACTGCATAACTTAAAGTTAATTTAATGTAAGAAAAAGTGCTACTGTGATGCCTCAGATATTTAGAGTGTATTAAGGTTCTCCACAGAAAACACAGCCAATGGGTAGAGAGAGAGAGAGACTTATTTTAAGAAAGTTGCTCACGTGATTGTGGGACTGGCAAGTCTTAAATCCATAAATGAGCCAGAAGGCTGGAAACTCAGGCCTGATTTCTATGTTTCTCAAGGAATTCTTCGAGAAATCCTTCTTTGGGAAACTTCAGTTTTTGCTCTCAAAGCTTTCAACTTATTGGATGAATCCCACCCATATTATGGAGGGTTATTCCGCTGTATTTAAACTGAAGTTGAATGTAGATGTTAGTCATATCGACAAAATACCTTCACAGCAACATTTTACATTACTGTTTGACCAAACAATTGGTCATTGTAGCCTACCCAAGTTGACCCATGAAATTTTACCATCACAGTGGGTATCTTCAGGCTCTTCTTATCTTCACCAAGTAAGAGCTGCACTTCAGATTCCAGTATTCGTATGCATTCTTACCAGCATTCTGCCCAGACCCTTTGAGCTTATGTCTCTTGGCTTTTGACTTCAAGCTTGCCTCTGGATCCCCTTGGCCCCATGCTTTCCACCCATGGCCTTGCTCTGCTTTATTCTTGTGTCCAGGCTGCCCCAGTGCCCTGGGCCTCTGATTATTCTGGGCCATGGATTTTAAACAGATGGAAAGCTTCACTTGAAGAAATCATGGAAAATTCCTTGCAAAAGACTTGGCATTTTAAATGAGTAGCATTCCTCATTTTTCTGTTATTTACTATTTACACATTACTCAGTGGAACTTTAATATTACTGTATTATAAAATTCTGTCAAATGAAAAAGAATAAGATAACCCGTAATCACACTACCCTAAAATAACCCATCTTAGCATTTTAGTATACTTCAGTCTTTCTTCACATGTAGAATTTTGCAGTTGTAATCATACCCAATATATAATTGTATCATGTTTTTCAACTTAGCATTATAGTATAAGCATTTTTAATGTCACTACATAATCTTCCTGGTCCTCATTGTTAATAGTTACATAATCGTTCACTGAATTGAAGTGTTTCATTTACTTCTCTTGTTATCTTTGAACAATTAGCAATTTATTCTTACAATAAATATCCACATCTTTTCTATCATAGTATTTTTTTTTTCACACCTTGAATTCTTTCACGTAGACTTAAACAATCGCTTGGCCAAAGAATATATATACATTTTGTTGTCTCCTGATGTATATTTCCGAATAGATTTCTTAAGGTTTCATCAATTTCCACTGCTATCATTGTAAATAAGGACCACTGTGTCTCTGTTCTCTTGAGGGTAGAGCTTTGACAGGTGAGGATTCAACACCAAGAGGAAGACATTCCAGGAACAAAGCCTGAGATTTGCATTCTGTAAAGTACCCTGGCCCTCACTAGTACACTGGTTTTGTGTTGCTTTGTTTCTCACAGACTGAACAGTTGATAACTCTGTGGGTCCTGTTTGTTTTCACCATTGTTGGAAACTCCATGGTGCTGTTCTCTACGTGGAGGAGGAAGAAGAAGTCAAGAATGACCTTTTTTGTGACTCAGCTGGCTATCACAGGTAAGTAACTGTGTGGGTGGGAGAGAATAAGCTGTTTCCAAATTCCTATGGCTCCTTCCTTTCAATTCTTTTACCAATAGAAATGGCATACTATCGAGTCCAAAAGGCATTGGCAAATTTGAGACTGATTTCTATAGGGATAAAAAAACCCACGTGTGAATTTTTCTTTCAGAAAGTTTTAACACATCTGTACATCCACAAGACTCCATTATAAAAATAATTCACTCTACAACACACTTGAAAATACCATTATTAGTGCCACCAAGGGGTTCTCTAGGGTTCCACCCTTCCTCTACACAACAGCCTCCATAGTTCACTAAGGTGATAATACAATATCATACCATATTATGAGCTTAAGGAATGTATCCTAGGGGCACCTAGGTGGCTCAGTTGGTTAAGCATCTGAGTCTTGATTTCAGCTCATATCATGATCCCAGGGTCATGGGATCCAGCCCTGTGTCAGGCTCCACACTGAGCATGGAACCTGCTTACGATTCTCTCTATCTCTCTCTCTCTCTCTCTCTCTCTCTGTCTCCCCTCCCCCACTCTCTCTCTCCCTCTCTCTCTAAAACAAGAGAAAAAAGAGAATATATCCCAGAAAATGGACCAGAATCATCTGTATTCAATAATAAATGTGAAGTCTCAAGTACTTTGCAGATTTATGTCTGTGGACATTGCTTTGGAAATATAAGTTATATGTCACACCACTGGTGGGCACAGTATAAGGACAGAAGATAATATCTGGGATCGGGATGTTTAAATGTGGATTTGGGAAATGGCCAGTATAGTTGAAGTGTGAATGCATCACACTTAAAGGGTGAATGGTGAAATATTCTCAAGTTTAAAAATGATCTGTGAAATAAAGACTCCCACAGAGATGGGTAGAGCCCAAATTGGTAGGGGTCATGCTCGAAAGGAAAACATAATCAAGGAGAGAGTCCTATTCTACAGGCCAAAGAAGAGAGTGGACAGATGGGATTCCTAGAAGGTCCAGCCTAAGACAGGCTTGGACTCCTGAGCTCTGGGAACAAGATGGTCTGTGATATGATTTTAATTTGAATCAGACTATAGGGAAAATGCAAAAAAAAAAAAAAAAATTAAGTGCTAACAAGAAGCAATGGTAGATGACCATCAGAATGGGCTGTTTGGTACATTTCAACCTATGCTATACTCTCCATTGCAGCACTGGCTGTGGGGTTTAGTCTTGAGCCACAATACGGGAAAAATATGGCACCATAACTTAGAGGAGAAACTTAGCTAAACGTTGTTGATAGCCTGACATTCTCCCATATCTTCCTAAAAAAAGTATAGCAAGCCCATCTGCTTAAGCTGGGCTACAGAGACCGGGATGAAAAACAAAGGCACTACCGAGAAATACAGACATGGGGAGAGAAGGTTGTGTCACAGAGGTGATGCTTATGATGGAAGAAAACTCCTTCAATCTTTCCTGCAAACAGGAGCCACATTTTTCACTCCTGACTATAGGAATAAAGGATAATCAGGATCATCCAGCAAAAGCTGAAATGCAAAATCCCTGGATGAGGATGTAATAACTTACTTTCATTAAATTTCCTTAATTACTGTGTTGTAACCCACATTCTACAGAGATGTGTGTTTTTTTAGAATGTAAGAACTTAGAGGCGGCAAGGATATCAGCTTGGAATTTAAAGTGTTACAAAAATAATCAACAAATGAATCATTGAAATGTCACCATCTATTGTTAAGGAGAAAAGTTGTGTATTCTAGTCTAATCTATAGTCTGCTGTATAACCTGGGCTTAATTTCTCATGAATATTCATGTCTGTTGTTTATTTGTTAATTCTTTCTGGAAAAACTCAAGGGGTCAGATCAGGGCCCTTTTAAGTGAAGAGTTCTCAGAGAGGAAATTTTGCCAAGGTTCTGAAAGTTTAGAAACTGAAAAATGTAAAATAACCGAAGCTAAAAATACGATAGATGGGTATAGCAGCAAATTAGATGTAACTGCAGAGAAAATTATTAAACTAGAATATAGGTCAGAAAATAATGATTGAAGCATGAAAAACAAAAGGATGGACAATTCAGACAGAAGGTAAGAAACATATGGGCTCAGTGAAAAGGATTCCTACAAAAGGGTAAGACAGAATGGACAGAAATAATATCTCAAGATATAATGACCAACAGTTTCCCCAAAACCCTGAAAGACATCAAAACTCAGATGCATAAAGCACCATAAAGGTCAACCGATCAGAAGACAATCAAATAAATATAAAGAGAATTGAAACACATGAAAATGATGAGTTTAAGTAAAATTCCCATATTGAATTTGAATTGAGAAAGTATGTGTGTCAACTCATGGTTTATCTCATGTTTTAAAAGAATCCTTATCTTTTAAAGGGTACATACTGAAATGTTTGCAAGTAAATTGATAACACATCTTAGATTTGCCTCAACATAATTTGAGGGCATGGTTAGGTAGGGATATAAAGGACAAAACTGATTTTTGTTGGTGCTTGGTGGTGAGTATATTGGATTCTTTGAACTTCTCATACTATTCTCCTTACTTTTACATACATTAGAAAAGTTTAAAAAAAAATTTTTTTTAACATTTTATTTATTTTTGAGACAGAGAGAGACAGAGCATGAACGGGGGAGGGGCAGAGAGAGAGGGAGACACAGAATCGGAAGCAGGCTCCAGGCTCTGAGCCATCAGCCCAGAGCCTGACATGGGGCTTGAACTCACGGACCGCAAGATCGTGACCTGAGCCGAAGTCGGACGCTCAACCGACTGAGCCACCCAGGCGCCCCAGAAAAGTTTTAATAATACAGAATTTAAAACAAAGAATAGTGAAAAAAATATACGTGATAACAATGAAACAAAATAAAGGGATTTGGGGAGTTAAAGAACTTTAAGTTCCTTGAATTGTTTTGGATGTAGTAAAAGCATTAATTTGTGTCAGATATTAAGAAGTCAAGGGGTATATTGAAACCTATAGGGTAATCCCCAAATTATAAATATGCATAATACTAGCAGTTGAAAACATGTAAAGTGAAATATTTAAAATATACACATACATATAGATGTACATATTTGTATATAATATGCATGTATTCTATATAATTAATCTAAAAGAAATTGAGAGAAAAATATTAGAATTATTAGAATAGGTAGGGCAAATAAGCTGATACATGTCACCTCAAATATATTGGTAATTGCATTTAGTGTAAAATAAGATGGTCAGAGTAGATTTAAGACATACCTACTTTATAGGGCGCCTGGGTGGCTCAGTTGGTGAAGCGTCCAACTTCAGCTCAGGTCATGATCTCACGGTTTTTGAGTTCGAGCCCCACATCGGGCTCTGTGCTGATACCTCAGAGCCTGGAGCCTGCTTCGGATTCTGTATCTCCCTCTCGCTCTGCCTCTCCCCCGCTTGTGCTCTGTCTCTCTCTCTCAAGAATAAATAAACATTAAAAATAGTTTTAAAAAAGACATACCTACTTTATTTAATCTGCTTATAAGAGATGTATACCTTAAAAATAATGATACAGAAAAAAATAAAATTAGAAGGAAAGTAAAAGAATGAAAAATAATAAAACGAGGACGCACAAACCAAAAGATAGCTTATGAAGCTATATTTATATGTCGGAAATCCGGATATTCACTGTGCTTCTCATAGCTCGGGTGCCCACATCTTTGTCTCAGCACTTGCTTTAGGGGAACAGAGTGAGGACAAGAGGACTCTAGCTCTATTAATGTTCTTTTTGGTGATGCTGATTGTAGTCACACAGGTGTGTACCTTTGTGATAATTCACCAAGTTATATAATTATTTGTGCACTTTACGTAGTTTATATCAGTAAATGTTTTATTTAAAAAGCACAGCTCCTCAATATAGAGCAGGAGTTGCAGTCTCAAATGCCTTCAGAAGCAAATGTTTGAAAGAGCCCAACGAAGGGCCAGGCAAAGATGGACACCCAGGGGAACTGGAGAATGCATGCCCCACCCACAGGCATTCAAACTCAATTCTTGTCAAATGGGATACTAATCAAACAAACCACTCGGGCAGGCCAGATTTGTCCTAAGGGCCGCTGGTTTACAACTGCTGTTATATAAAATCTTAAAATCAGAATTTGAAAAGCTTGCACCATCATAAAATTCTAGCCCAGCCCATAGTATGAATCCCATTTTCAATATGTGAAGGGAACATCAAGCTTTTTGTGTGGGGTTGGGGAGAGTGAAAGCAAGATGGGGAGCTTAACATTTATAACGGTTTAGATAAGTCACATGTTTGTCAAAGTTTTAAAATGCATTCTCTTGGGGTACCTGGGTGGCTCAGTTGTTTAAGCATCTGATTTTGGCTCAGGTCAGGATATCACGGTTCGTGAGTTCAAGCCCCGCATGGCACTCTGTGCCGACAGCTCAGAACCTGGAGCCTGCTGCAGATTCTGTGTCTCCCTCTCTGCCCCTCTGCTCCCCTGCTTGCTCCCTCTCTCTCTCGAAAATAAATCAACATTAAAAAAAACTCTTTCAATAAAATAAAATAAAATGTAGTCTCTTGAAAATAGATGCTATGTTAGGGCTTTTATTATAACTTGAAAATTATAAACCATTATATGGAACTACTGAAACCAAAACATTGAATCATTATATGCCTCATGAATAATAATAATGCAAATGAAAATATAAAGGAACTTTCCCAATGAAATCAAGCCTAATCCATATAACCCAGTGTACGTGATTATCAGATGACCAGTAAGATTAAGGAGAAAAGTCAAAATCAGCACACATTCGTATCTGCCTATCACTAAGATTTTTCCTTCAGAGGAACGTGTACCAGGCTTCTCTATATGAGGAAACATCAGACAAGACACTGGCCCTGTCAGGGTAGTATTAAAGCAAAGGCTGCTAGGTTAACCTCCGCATGAATGACTTGTTCTCACATGAAGATGCTGCTATTATTAGTGTGTCCCTGTGAGGCCAAGACATTTGCGTAATGATAATCACGTAAAGGAAAGGAAAGGAATG